TTAATCACCGCCAGTCATGTGCATATACACATGAGCAAAATGGGCATGTAGAGCGCCGTAATCGACACATTGTCGAAATGGGCCTAACTCTACTTGCTGAGGGACAAGTTCCTCACGAATATTGGGAATATGTCTTTGAAACAGCAAGTGTCTTAATCAACTACTTGCCGTCTTCTGCCATTAATTATGATAGCCCATACTCGCGTCTCTTCAAAACACCACCTCCATACACCTTTCTTCGCGTCTTTGGGTGTCAGTGTTACCCGTATCTACGCCCGTATAACAGGCATAAGATAGAGTATCGCTCCACCCCGTGCGTCTTCCTAGGTTACCCACCCTCCTTTAGGGGATATAGATGCACTGACTTGGCTACTGGTAAGACCTATATCTGCCGCCATGTCCGTTTTGATGAACATGTGTTTCCTTTTTCAGCAAAGAAAGTGCAACAAGTTTTGCCTCCACCGAGTTTACCGTGGGCGGCAGCACCTGTTGTCACGACGAGTACATCTTTAGTACTCACTGATCCGCCGGGCCCACGAGAGGTTGCTGAGCCTGAGCCCATACCCTTAGCTCGTGATCCACCACAACTGGCGATCACTCACACCGCCTCGGTACGGACTCGTAAGCGGCGTGCTCAACTACAAGGACGGGACCATGTCATGCGTCTCCGTCACATGACCAAGGGTACGGACGAGCCCTTTCAGGCCTTAACTGTCAGTTCAGACCCGACGTGTTATTCACAGGCCGTTGGACATGCACATTGGCGTGAAGCCATGTTTCAGGAGTTTAATGCTCTTCTCCACAATCATACCTGGCGCCTAGTCCCACCTGAACCCCATATGAATATTATTGGGTGCAAGTGGGTGTTCCGCACTAAGCGCACCGCTGATGGATCAGTAGAGCGGTATAAGGCTCGTTTGGTGGCCAAAGGGTTTAACAAGGTTGCAGGGGAGGACTTTTTTGACACATTTAGTCCTGTAGTCAAACCCACTACCGTTCGCATGCTGTTTTCTTTGGCTGTATCCAAGGGTTGGACTCTACGACAATTAGATGTTCACAACGCCTTTCTAAACGGCCATCTAGACGAAACAGTTTACATGAAACAGCCACCAGGGTACGAGGATCCCACCACACCGGGTCATGTGTGTCACATACAACGGTCTCTTTATGGGTTGAAACAGGCACCCAGAGCCTGGTTCAAGCGCCTTCACGATTTTTTGTTGTCCACAGGTTTTCAGGCGTCCAAAACCGATGTCTCTTTGTTTTACTACACTGCAGGAGATTCCCGTGTGTTTTTGTTGGTCTACGTAGATGACATCATTATGATGGGCAATGATGCCAAGCTTGTGACTACTTTACTACAGCGACTGTCTACAACCTTCAAAATCCGAGATCTAGGAACCCCGGGATTCTTTTTGGGTATCGAGACAGTTGTGGTAGGTGATGGTCTTCTTTTGTCGCAACGGCGCTACATGACAGATCTACTTGGCCGCTCGGGTATGGTTGACTGTAAACCACTTACCACTCCAGCCGCTGTAACCAAGTCACTCACTACGGTGGATACCCCGTATGATAATCCGACGCAGTATCAGCGTATTGTTTGCGCGTTACAGTATTTGACGATCACGCGACCAAACTTGTCTTATGCGGTCAATCGGCTTTGTCAGTTTATGCATTCTCCAACCGAAGATCACTGGAATCTGGTAAAACGAGTTCTCTGTTACATCAAAGGTACCTTAGACTATGGGTTGCAGCTTACTCCGTCCGCTTCTACTGTCATTCATGCCTACTCTAATTCAGACTGGGCTGGCTGTCCCATCGACAGGAAGAGTACTAGTGGTTATGCTGTTTATGTGGGTTCCAACCTCATCTCATGGCTATCCAAGAAGCAGCGCACTGTGGCTCGTTCTTCCACTGAAGCTGAGTATAAGGCATTAGCTAATGTCTCCACTGAGGTCACCTGGGTTGTTTCGTTACTTAAAGAGCTTGGGTTACACTCAGGTCAACCTGCGACACTATGGTGTGACAATCTTGGTGTGACGTATCTATGTGCAAACCCGGTTTTCCATGCTCGCACTAAACACGTAGAGATTGACTATCACTTCGTTCGTGACAAAGTGGCTGCAGGGGATTTCGTGGTGAATTATGTGTCTACTACTGATCAGCTGGCCGATATCTTCACCAAACCGCTTCCATCACCGTGTTTTGCTACTCTACGGGGCAAGCTCAATGTGGCTTCTCTGCCATCTTGTGCTTGAGGGGGTGTATTAGTGAAGTTATTATTTCATATTATTATTGTATAATATATAGTCTTGTAGTATGTGGTTATTATTAGTTAGTCAAGGCTAGTTCTACATATCAGGGTTAGTTAGAGTTTTAGTTGTGATATACTCTGTAATCTTTATCCTGTTTCTAATTGAATCGAAAGACATTCTCCAATCTTAGCTACCTGCAAAAAAAAGTCAATTGAACAAATTTAGTAGGTAAGTGTGGTTAATTAGCCTTAAATTTAGTTCGTGGTGGGAATTAAGCACTTGACAGTAGTAGATGGGCCTATTTGACACTTCTCCCTTTAAAATTTAATCCTACCAAGTATAGTTTTGGCTCCCCTAACTATCTTGTAGTCTGTCATAACTCATAAACATTGTATTATAATTTATAATATATTTTGTATTTGAACCGTTATGTGTGTTTTTGATATTTTTTTCATTGACATTTCTAAAGTAATTTGAAATACGCCCCCACTCACATAATTTTCTGGTTCCGCCACTGACTATGAGCTACCTTATCAATGTTATCACTTTCAAAGACGGATCGGAGCTTTTAATTTCTACACCTATACAGTAGAAGCTATCATCGGAATATTCATTTTCATTGCCAGCGTTGTCAGTTTCCCAGCCGAAAAGATTAGGATTATCGATTGGTCTAGTGCAAGTGGCCGGGAGACTGTTAGACATGTATGCCTTAGCACTCAACATTTATTGTTTTGGTCATTGATTTCTAATTAAATAAATATTTTATTTATTTTTATTTTGTCAAGTTAATATTTGATATTATTCACTACAATCTTCTTAATTCTTCATTCTTAAGAGTTAAGAATATAAGTGACGAAGAATTAATAAATGAAGTATTGTAAAAATATTCCTAGCTAGTCATAGAAATTCTTATTGGGATTAGATCCCATTAAAATTCCGATAAGACTAGCACATTGTCCTTCTTATGGTGAGTCTCATGTCATTCTGTATGAAATACAGAGAGTGGACATGTGGATGATTGTTAGAAAACAAGTCATTGAACAATAACTGACTACAACGTACCGCATGGTGTTTATCTACGTATTATCGGCATGTTGTTTGTTACCAATTTTTCTAATTTTTCTTATTTTGTTCAATTTTTTTCTAAATAAAAATCTCTTCAATTAATAAGTATATCGTAAATTTTATGACTTCTAGCAGTTGCAGTAAATTTCATGACTGGAGAAAAAAATTAGCCGTAGTAAATTTCATGACTCGAGAAAAAAGTATACAGTTGTAGTAAATTTCATGAATAGAGAAAAAAATGAAAGTTAACAGTTGTAATAAATTTCATAACACGAAAAAAAAAAAATTAACAGTTGTAATAAATTTAATGACTCGAGAAAAAAAAAAGTTACCAGTTGTACCCAGTTTGCGGTTCTTATACCGTGGACCATGGTCTGAAAACGGAGTCATCATCATTAAATTTTAACAAATCTTGTATTTTTGGGTATTTATAACAAAATGAAACTACAGTTTATCTAAAATGAAACTGAATAATTTGTCTTGCATATATTATCAAATGAAACTGTAATTGAATTGAAATGATACTTTAGTTGTTTTGAAATGAAACTGCAGTATGTATGAAATGAAACTGAATAACATGTCTCACATATTGAGTGTATATTGTCAAATAGAACTGTAGTTGAATTGAAATGATACTTTAGTTTTGCCGAAATGAAACTGCAGTATGTATAAAAAGAAACTGAATAACATGTCTCACATATTGAGTGTATATTGTCAAATGAAACTGTAGTTATATCAAAATGATACTTTAGTTGTGTTATAATGAAATTACAGTGTATATAAAATGAAACTAAATAATAGTTTCACATATTTGAGTGTATATTGTCCAATGAAATCGTAGTTGAATTAGAAATATGATAGTAGTGTTGTAACAAAATTACAATGAGTATAAAATGATATTCAATAACATGTCTCATTGTAATAAGACTATTGTATGTATAATATTGAATGAAACTGTAGTTGAAACAAAATGAAACTTTTGTTGTGCTGGAATGAAACTACAATATATAAAATGAAATTGAATATGTTATACTAACCGAACTAATTACACGAAACGGGTGTCGTTTCTTTTCATTAAAAGAAACAACACCGTTTTGGACCATGGTCCACAGTAAAATTCGCCCCCAGTTTGGGGCAAGTATGCTTCAATAGTTATTGCGCGGACTGTGGTCCACATAGTTATGTGGACCACTGTAAAAAAAAAACGACATCATTTTGCTTAATTTTATTTTTTCACGCGCCCAGTTGCAATATACATTTTTATAACTCATAATATACATTATTCTAAAACATAATGTACATTATTCTAAAACATAATGTACATTATTCTAAAGCATAATGTACATTATTTTAAAACATAATGTACATTATATTACCACAGATATTTCATTATTCTAAAAACACATAATGTATATTATTATAATACGTAATATACATTATTCTAAAACATAATATAAATTATTTTAACACATAATGTACATTATTTTTACTTATAATATTCACGACGATATTTTGGACTGTGGGCCACACATTTGCCAGTATGTTTTTTAAGGCAGGCTTCTGAAATCAATTTTTGAAGAGTTCTTACTAAAAGTCCATTTGTTTCGGTCAATAGCTTTTTGTTTTTAAATGAATGGTTCCAGTGGCCCAGGCCCATTTAACCAATCTACTCCCATCGCCACTAGGGTTTTTGTTTATAAGATCTCGTCATTGTTTCTGTACTTCGATTAAGCTTTTCTTTATCGGCAGCGGAGGAGAGATTTGCATTGAAACCTAGCGCAGCAGTTCAACATGAGAGCTAAGGTATAATTTCTGTAGAAATCGCTCATCGATTTTCTGCGTGACTTGTAATCTCCACCTTTTAGTTATGGCGTTATTCATTTTTTTTAAAATGAATTTTGCAGTGGAAGAAGAAGCGTATGAGGAGGTTGAAGAGGAAGCGCCGAAAGATGAGGCAGAGATCCAAGTAGAAGCACGAATCTGTTTCCTCCTATCTTCGGCTTTTTAGGTTTATCTGTGCTGTTTCTGTTTTTGTTTCGGAGCGTTTTAGTAGTAACATGTCGTTCTGTAATCCGAGAATTTCTGCTTTGTGGAGTAGTCGAGATTGCAATCTTCAGTTTTACACAATGAACTTAAGAGTGTGTTGCTTTAATATATTTCTCTCTCAATTTTATTCCTTTTGTCTCGTTACTATAGCGATTATCTGCAAATCAGAAATGATTAATCTCTCTAATAGTTTTTTTTTCTTTTTTGCTGTTTTGTTAAGAATGTTGTTATTATAGAAGTGCAGTAGTGCTGAATTCATCTAAACACATGATAGTCTTGAGAATGACCATTGAATGAAAGTGATATTATCTGCAAATCAGAAATGATTAATCTCTCAAATTGTTTTTTGCTGTTTTGTTAAAAATGTTGTTATTATAGAAGTGCAGTAGTGCTGAATTCATCTAAACACATGATGGTCTTGAAAATGACCATTGAATGAAAGGGATATTATCTGCAAATCAGAAATGATTATGGTATTATCTCAATTACTCTCAAAGCTTTGTGAAAATTTTGTTTGCGGTTTTGTTAAAAAAAAGTTGCAATTGTAAAAGTGGAGTATGAATCTGTTTATGAATTATTTGATTAAACCTAGCTCTGAATGTTGTTCACTGAGGGTTGGGTGGGCGGCCATTGGCAGATGCTACTCTGGAACCCCATTCGAGTAGCTCTTTGCTGGTATCATCCTTGTGGACTATGACTTCAATGAAACACAGACAATCTGCCTTCTCCCCTGTTGCTGTTTCTATTGCTTTGATCAGGTCCTCCTCAGTGAACACCTGCAGATTATATCATTAAACCAGCAGAATAGAGCTGAGATGATAGCAGTAAAAGCATACACTAGGTTTATGGTGGGTGCTTGTGCTAACCTTTGTTGTCCAGCATTTGCCTTCCCCGTTGCAGATGGCATCGACTAGCCCGGTGTAGTTCCAGTTCTTGATGACATTGTAAGGGCCGTCGTGGATTTCCACCTCAATTGTGTATCCTCCATTGTTGACCAAGAATATGATGGTCTTCTGGTTGCACCGCATCATTGTTGAAATATCTTGAGCCGTAACCTTCCATCAAAAAAATTGCAATAAATCAAAGATTTATAATCACATTAACTTGCTACGAGCAGGACTGGATCCAGTGGGGGGGGGGGGGGGGGGTAATCCGGGCAGTTTCCCCCATCCCTCCCCACCCCCTATATATATATAATATATATACAAAAATTACAAAGTGTTTGAATAGCTTAGTTTGTTGACCCTCTCACTACCAACATCATTTTACTCCATTCAAGTATATTTTTGGCTATGTCTCGGATTATACCCTAGTTTATCATAAACATTGTGGCTCTGTTTGGTAAATTGACTGATAAACTAATTAATTTACCAAACAAGGCGGGTATATTTTGTCATAGAAATGAATTAGAATTTTTGAATCTGTCCTTTGCTAAGCATTCATAATGGGTACCTGAAAGCTGCCATCGCCTATACATGCAATCACCCTTTTGCTGGGCACAGATTGTGCATATCCCAAAGTGGCACCAACTGACCATCCAATTGAACCATACTGCATCTGAAACTCGTACCTGCAAATTAAAGCCCATTTTTATGGTACAATTGTATTGTGTCTAGTGAGTGTATGCATTTATTTATTTATATTTATACTATATGATATGATCAAACACATATATATATACATACCCACATCCTGTTGGTAACTTTAGCTTTTGACAATTGAACCAGGAATCCCCAGTCTCAGCAATGACTGCAGTATCAGAGGAAAGCATCTTCTGAATGTGCTGGAACATGATATTGACCCTAAGAGGGTCAGTGGGCAAGGATTTGAGAGGACTCCCTTCAGAAATATAGATCCGGGAATAGTTCTCATAAGCAGTGTTGTTTTTCTTAATCTTTTTCGCTAGCTCCGTGAAGAAATCTTTCATGAGCACGCATCCGAAAGTCTGACCGTTCCCAATCACAACTCTGTCAGGGTGCACGATGACCGCCTTCTCCTTCTTGAGGAGGAGGGAGTAACCGACAGAGCTGTAGTCGTTAAAGATTGGTCCGGCAAACAGATAAGCGTCTGCAGATTCGACGATTTCTCCACAGAAGGCAGTGCTCACTGCACCCCAGTAGGTGCCGATGAAATGAGGGTGCTGTTCCGGGACTAGCCCTTTGCCGGAGGGCATCACTGCTATAGGATAGCCACTAGCATCAGCGAACTCGACGAAAGCCTCGCAGGCCTTGGCAACTCTCAGCTTTGGCCCTCCCACCATCACGGGCTTCACCGCCTTGTTCAGGAAGGCGGCTGCCGCCTCCACAGCCGCCTCTGTCCCCAACTTATTGCTCAATCTGTATGTAATAATATCATCACCACAAATACTAAGTACTAACATTTATTCAATTATTTGATTTGATGGTAAATGTTAGCTAGAACCAAGTACCAACCTGGGTGAAATGTTAAATGGAATGGGCTCCCTGCTGAAACTTGGATGAGGAATGCCAGCAAGGTTGCAACTTATACTCACATACACAGGTTTGCTTTCTTTGAGAGCTGTGGAGATTGCTGTATCAATTTGTTCATGCGCATCATCCAAGTGGTTGATCAAAGCCTGATCATCAACGTATACTACCCAAATCAAACTTGGACAAAAAATACAATTTTCCCTATGTATATATATAATGATTTTTTTTATTCTTTACAAAGTAGTATCTTCTAAACTTCTTTATTAAGTCTGATAGATTTAATTACCCGGGGTGGACCCGAATCAATAAATCCGGATAAGAATGTAAATAACAATTAAATAGGTAAGCAATACGATGTCCTGGTGTCCCAACAAGACAATGGGAAGGACTTTTATACAGGCAAAAACCCCTGAACAACCCCCCTAAAATGGCGGGAGGTTAGATCTATGTGTTGACCGCGCTCGGGCAAGACTGGGTTGGGTCAACGCCTGTTGAGCTCAGGCAGGACCGAGCTCCCTTACCCGAGCTCATTATGACCCAAGCTCGAGTAAGGCCGAGCTGCTCCACCCGAGCCCACCACCAAGTGGCTCGGGCCGAGATACCTTCGAGATGCGAGGTGCCTTGGGCCGAGGTGTCTTGAGTTCCACCTCGGTACTCCGAATCCGCGATGCTACCCGAGTCGGTTCGGGTATAATATATCCGTCAAACCCAACCATCGAGATTGGATTAGTGTGGCTACTCATTTGGAATGGTAACAGAGATGTCATCACACTACATAGTTTGACATATATATATATATATATATATATATATATATATATATATATATATATATATATATATATATATATATATATAATGATGTTAAGTGAGGGCAGGGAGAGAATAGTACCTGATAGCAAGTAACAGTCTGGAAGCACCTGAACTCCTGGCTAAAATCAGCCAATCCAATGGTGTGATGCAAAATCCTATTAGTTCCATAATCGTTAGTATTAGGCCCACCCACCAAACAAATCACGGGAAGGTTCTCGCTATTAGCACCGGCAATGGCGTTAAGCACGCTAAGCCCGCCCACCGTGAAGGTGACGACGCAAGCGCCGACTCCCCGCTGCCTGGCATAGCCGTCGGCGGCGTACCCCGCATTCAGCTCGTTGCAGCACCCAATGTTGTTAAGACTCGGCTCCGCAATCAGGTGGTCCAGCAGCGTCAGGTTGAAGTCTCCCGGCACCGTGAACACGTCTCTCACGCCTATCTCCACCAGCCGACGGGCAATGTGGCGGCCCAGGGTGGCGTCCGGCGGGGTGGTGGTGGGCGGAGAAACGGCGGAAACACCGCCGTTGGGGCAAACCACGTCTCCGTTGTTGGGCTGGGATCCCTCAAAGTTTCCTACTGCAACGTCCATGTTTAATGCTTTAATTTGCAGCTCGATCGATCGGTACGGTGTATATATAGTATAGAGATCAGAATTGCTTAATTGCATGCATGCAAGAATATTATGATGTGAAGGAGAAAATTTAAGGAGAGGAAGAGTGGGTATATGTGGTTTACATTATTTGTATGAACAACTGTTTAACGGTATTTGATTCGTAAATACAGGATCGGATTGGAGGAGCTAAGCTAGCCCCAATGAAATTTTCTTTGGTCAACCAAATTGCATATCTTTCTCTTATACACTCAGTAACTAAACTTATTTTTTGTTTACAAGTGTAAATTTAACTTTACATTTCGATTTCATTCAATATTAGTACATGTCTAGGTTCATAAAAATACTCTTTTGTCATTACTTTTTATGACGTAGGCGGCAGATGTTAAGGGAAAGACTATGGTAGGTTGAAATTCAAAACTCGAATGACAACGAGGGGTCGATTTGAAAATTAAATGTGGCAAAATCACCAAACTCGGAAGATCTTAGATGTCATTAACTTATTTCAAATATTATTTTATTAGGATAAAATACAAATAAGCCACTGAACTATTTGGGAAACAACAATTAAGCCATTGAACTCAAATAATCCCAAATAAGTCATTGAACTCGAAAAAAAAAGAGCAATTAACATTTTTAACAGGTTAACTCCGGGCTTTTGCTGACGGGATTGCCAAATGTTTATTATTATTATTATTATTATTATTATTATTATTATTATTATTATTATTATTATTATTATTATTATTATTATTATCCACTTGGATAGTATTATATTTTAAAGTAATTATAATCAAAATAGTTTTGTCTTGTCGAGATTTGATTGATTTATTTATTATTATTTTTTTCATTGGTCTGTTTTAAAAAAAAATAATAAATAAATAAATTAGATCTCTAGACAAAACTATTTTGATTATAATTACTTTAAAATATAATACTATGTAGGTGGATTATAATATAAAAAAAATGTAAATAAAATAAATATTTAGCAATCCAATTAGCAAAAACATGGAATTAACCTGTTAAAAATGTTAATTGCTCTTTTCTTTATGAGTTCAATGGCTTATTTGGGGGTTATTTGAGTTTGATAGCTTAATTATTGTTTTCCAAATAGTTCAATAGCTTATTTGTACTTTAGTATAAGGCCGCGCCGGGGATTATTAATAGATTTCCATCCTTAATATGTATATTGTCATTAATTGTCAGTTATATTATATTGGGGTATACATTGGGATATATTATGACTTTACTAAAAATCGGTTGAAAAGATATGATTACAAAAAAACAGAGGTTACCTTTTAAATCAATTAAATCGGTTGAAACCGAAAAAATAACAAAAGAAAAATATGAAAATACAAAAATGTCCTTACTAAAAATAGGAAAAGTAATGAGAAAGACTAAAAGTGTCTAAAAAATAATAGTTTAGGATGTTAAATGACAAAAACAATAATGTGGGACTAAATTTAGAATTGCCACCAAAGACAAGGAACCTCTGATGGAATTAACTCTTGTTAATATATTTTTTGTAACTTTTCCTATAAATTAGAATTATTCTTGTTTTGGGCAAAACTCGAAACGAGTTGGTCAGACAGTTAGTTTCGTAACTACAAGATTTCAAGTTTGACTCTCCTCTTGGTTTGAGCTAGTTAGCTATGTGTAATCTAAATTGGTAATTATTGACTTACCACCTTATTGTCATTTGCTAGCTAGAATTACAATGCGATTTTCACCCAAAACACATCTTCAGATAGTATTGCAGACTTTCCCGCAAATCTTTCTATTTTGTTGTAACAATTGGTTCGCTGGAAAATATTTGAAGTGAAATGGAATTGAAATTCCATGGAAAATAAATTCCAAGAAAATAGATTCCATTGTTTGGTTGGTGGAAAAGAAATTACTGGGAATATGAATTCCATTGTTTGGTTTAGTTTGGAATGGTAAGGAATAATGTGTATAATGACAAATATAACCCTACACAACAATAATAATATAATAATAATAAGAGTAATTAATAAAGAATGGTGAGGGTAAAATTGTCATATTAATTAGTTTTCCATGGAAAACCTTTTCCATGGAAAACAAAATACCTAACATGAGCTAAGAATTTATTTTCCTCATTCTCAAGGAAAACTTTTTCCAATAGAAAATGTTTTCCATCCAACCAAACAACATAAAACATCATTTTCCTTCACTTTTAGGAAAATATTTTCCATGAAAAATGTTTTCCATCCAACCAAACACCCCCTTAATTCTTTGTAAACTTTCCAAAATCTTCAATTTAAATTCAATGCTTTAAAGTCATTATGTAAATTTAAGGAGTTACATCAATCAAGTAATGCTAATGGCCGGGGAATGTTAGGTGCCTCAAAACAATCAGATAATGTCTCATCATTGATCACCACACCTCTAATTTTTTTTAATGTAAAGGAAAGAAAAAAGAATTATAGTCTACATTTCCTTTAATTAATCAAAACATGTCATATTAATCAGCTAAGAAGTTAAAAATTAGAGTACATATAGCATTACTTTTCTATTACAATGAAGTATATAAATGAAAGTAATTGGTAAATCATACCACGTAAAAGCATTGCCAAGTTGCTTCTTGAAAAATAATCCTAGAGCAAGAGCTTTTGATCCTTGGGGTAGGTAAGACATATAATCAAAGAAACATGTGCATAGTCGTTTAATTTCATGATGCATTCAATGCTAGCTTGTAGTTCCTCACCTTCAAAAGGCAAATTCTTTGGTCGGATCTCCACATCTTGACCTAATAAAATAAGTAGTAAATCATAGTGACTGAACACCCTTGTAAGTGAGAAAACAAACTGTTTTTTTGTGTTTTGTTTTTTTTTTTTTTTTTTTTTTTTACACAGGAAGACCAACTTTTAGTTTTCCGTATCTTTAAATTTGAAAACTCATTTACAAATATATATTTTCTTGAACCCGCCATGTGAAGTATTGTTGTTTGTTTTCTAGATTTGTGTGTGTATTACTAATGAGAACTGAATGAACTTGATTACAAAGATACAAATCATAGCTATATATACCAGAAGAGTCATATGAAAACTAGGATAAGAAGTCATAAACTAACTCAAATACATATAGTCCTAATATTACTCCTTATATATAATATATTATTATATAATATATTAAGTAGCATACATATATATATGTGATGATGGGTATATGTGTGTGATTGGATAACTGAAGCTAGTATATGCACTGTCTGGTTGACATCAGTTAAAAGCATTACAACATGAGCTTGGATAGAAGCAGAGAGGTTGGTGTATTTATTTGTCAGAATCAATTTAATGTTAACATTTTCATTCTTTGGATTAATTGTGTGTTTACTTTGTACTGTTAATCAAGATAAATCAAAGAAAGAAACATGCCAATATATTTAAATAATGAGGTATAATGACAACTGACAAGTTTAATATGAAAAAAAGTGTTGTTGTGCTGGTATTTATTGTATCTTTACTTGTCTGCTTCACAATCTTAAGGTGAAATTTTAATTTTAAATATTAATAGCTAGGTTGCTGCTTACTTTAGCAAATTGCATTAATGCTCTAGGAAAACAACAGAAAAAGGGTCTAGCTTATGTTCCTTATCCTAATAGGTATCTATATTCTTTTTTATGGTAGTATAAAGTCTTACCACTAATGAGTAATGAAGCTAAGCTAATCTCTAGATCTTTTACAACAATTTGATGTGTATTTTTAAATACGATCCGAGTGGTAATTCACAGATAATAATGATCTCCACCATATTTCCAGTAAATAATCAGTATCACTATACTATTCATACTTTAAAGTATGCTCACCGAACAAAGGAAATTAAAACACATATTTAGGTAACAGTTTAATATATAGATGTCTAGAAACTTTTATAAGTTGCAATTTTTGGTAAAGTTACTACATGTTAAAATAAATTTTGGTTAATTGAACTAGTAAAAGGGTCTATTGGACCCTTTTATCAAAAATCAACAAAGCTCCTCTAAGGCTAATCCCATCCCAGCAATGCTTCCCCTTTCTAAATGATGTGACTTTTTAAAAGCTATTTTGTTTTAATTTTTTTTGCCATGTAGGATAGAAGGCTTGCAACTGCGGCAGCCTTTATGTACCTTTTTTTTAATTTTTGTTTTAATTTATTAGCTATTTATTATTATATTTATAATATAATAATATAATATGAAAGTGAGACCACTTTAGAAAGTGAGAGAATATTACATGGATGTAGTGTGAATAGTAAATGATTTGCAAATTGAGTGATGTAGAAGTGGGATCCATTTTAGAAAGTGGGAGAGAATTGATGGGATGGGGTTAGCGTTATCCATTTCTAAGTTTCTTCCGCTCCACTCCACTCCAGGGCCGAATTTTGGGCTGTGCAAGCTGGGCTACCGCACAGGGCCCCAAATTTTGGAGGGGCTCCAAATTTTGGAGGCCCAATATTTTATTTTTACCTAGCTAGTTTAGAAATAAAAACTAAAAGTTTTCAAGTAAACTTAAAAGGCTCTATGAAGAAATGCTAGGAACATGTGTTTGTTGTATTTCAACTTGGAGGTTTAAGGTTTGAAACTTGAATGTTGCTCCTTGCATTGCGAGTTTGAGCACACTATTATTATTGTTTTAATTGAAATTTATTCCATAATAATACTATTATTATTATTGTCATAATTATAATTTATTCCATAATATGCCTTTTGACTTTTTCTTTGCGCACAGTAACATTTTAACAGCATAATAATTCTTGGCAGAGGGAGATAAAATGCCTATTGCCTAGTTGCCTATTATGCACTCACTAAATGTTTCTTGACGTTAAAAGACTACTATAAAGCAAAAAAATAATTTAATTAAATGAGAAGAAAGAAGTGCTCTGCAGATAAGGAGCTTTGGTGCATCTTTGCCCGATTTGATGTAGGGAGCTCTGTTATGGAAAAATTCAGGAGTGTCTCATAGACTGGCTAAAGGCTAATGTTTCTTGTTATTATATTTGTGCAGCTAAGTCACCGTGATTGATGTACTGGTAAATCTTTTGTACCCTCCAAATGAGAAAAATGATATACTGATATATATCTTTAATTTGGTTGTTTTATATCATTCTTTTCTTTGCTTAGTATACGGAATTCCATTGTTGTCACACTGGATAGGTCCAAATGGCATTATAGTTTATGGCCCTATTTGGTAAAATGGTTGTTAGCTGATAGCTGTTTGCTGTTAGTTGATTGTATTAATTTGAGGGTATAAATAATTGATAATATTAGCTGATTATAAAAAAGTGTTTGGTAAATTAGCTGTTAGCTGATAGCTGTTTGGTATAATTTTTTTTTTCAAAAAACTAATTGAAAAAGTTGTTTGGAGTAGCTTTTTATATTTAGCCTTTTGGAGTTGCAAAAAGCTAATTAACCAAACATTTATATTGATATTTTAACTAAATCAAACAATTAATAGTGGTCAAATAAGCCAAAATTGACCTATAGGCCAATTTTTTACCAAACTGGGCCTATACCAATTGCAGAAAATATATTCTTTGCAGATCACAATAATCCCCTTAAGTTAGTACGGAGTAGTTGAGAAAGCAGTATCTTTCTTAAAAGGTTTCTGTTCCATCTTCTTGTTCAAATATGTGCATATTTCTTGAGTCAAGTTTGTTAGTTGCATAAGTAAATTAGTGAAATATTGTGTTGTGTTTTGAATATTTTTTCCAGCCTTCTCAGGAATACAGTAGTCAAGGTAATCTCTATCACTGATTATTATTTCACTTGAGGAATACACATATTAAGTAGTTTGGTTGAACTGTATTTGTAAATTGTAATGCGGTATGCACCATACCCATGGTATGGTAACTCAGTTTAGGAATTACATACAAAATGATTTTGGGTTAAGGTTTCATAAATATAATGTAACATGTATGAAACCTAACCTCCTAACAGCGAAAGTAATATTAGAGATCAAAATACCTCTCATCATTATTGACATCTTCTTAGTTGTGTGTTGCTATCTCTATAGAACTGCAAGGAAAAGATTAGACGTTTTTTCACACTTGACGCAAAACTTTAGATGGTGTATTTGAAATTATTCCGAGTAATGTGATTACCATAACGTTATGTGCTATAAACAATACATCAAATATTCCATCAATATAGGTTTACTATATGCATGGTCCAGCTTGATAAATCAACAATTTCTTGTCATTCAATTCAACCAAACTACTTAATAAGCCCTCACAACAATATGTCCTCTATTCAAGAGAGTATTATCTTCTATGCATCACATGCATTTTGATTCACTAACTTAAATCTTTTATGAACAAACCCAACATTTATTCTTGGTACCTTAAGAGATATTTCTCAAAATAAAATATGTTCACATCAAAAGAAGAAACCATTCAAGTTGTACAAAGAGAGTACACTATATGATCCCTAAAATTCTTAAAAGCATGCCTTAAAGGAAAGATATCTTAATGTTAATATAATGCTAACTATATTTATGACTAGTACTTAAACACCACGTCGACTAAGTGTGATTGGAGTTGACACATATGTCACTCCCACTAATTAAAATAGCCAAAAGATAACAATTTAGTCACAGAAGCAATCCAACACCTTAGACAACAATATAGTTGGCCTAGTGCGGTTGCCTTTCACTACAACTGGTTCTTCCAATGCAGTTTCAATTTGCCAGTTTGTAATAGTGATATGCTATGCTGCATTATGGAATAACTGAGTTGGTTACTTTAATTAAAAGATGTTTTCAGTTGGTAACAGTGCATCACGTACCTGAAGGAAGATCTTGTGTGAATGAAGTTCAAAATTTAATATAGATAAGAACTCCATCAGTAGTTCCAAAAAAAAAAAAAATAATAAAAAATAAAAAAAATAAAAAATAAAAAATAAAAATGCAAAATTGACCCATTCTGTAACAGACACTTGGATATCACACAAGAAAATGCCAACCAAAGCCATAGGAAGTTTCCCATAGCAATACTCTTAATACCCGCATACAAGAACCCTGAATGGCTAAAACTCTCTGCCATCACCCAAAACATACCTCAAAAGCTAATATTGCTTGCATTTGACCAGACCAAACCAGACCAGACTCGACTCATCATACCCAGTGGGTTCGAAACAGGTGACACAACAAACCTCAGCCAAGTTGAAACGGGAACAAGTATTGCATGTGATACCCTTTCAAGTAGATTTCTTGTCCCCTGCATCTTCAGCTGCTTTATCATCGGTTGCAACAGGAGCCTCCTTCGTTGTCTCTTCACCTTTCTCTGCCTTCTTTTCAGCGTTCTCATCTTCAACACTCAATTTCTCAAGCAGTCCAGCAGCAGCAGAAGCGTCTTTGTTTTCCTCATTCTTCTTCTGTGATTCAGCAATCTCTTGGAATGTCTCCATGAAGTTCTTGCAATCTAGAAGTCAAACAGTAATAGACTGAACTATATGCTAAAGATCCATACAAATAGAAAATGAAATAACTGCTGAAATGCAATCAATTATTCATAACAAGAATCGCAATTACAACGCATCTCAAAAACCCCCAACTATACTTCCAATAGTGGGAAACCTTGGGATACTTTTCAAAGAATGACATTAATCTCTTTCGAGAAATAAGGACACAGTTTAGTTGATCTCAGTTTCATTCCGTTTGACATCTAACGGAAACCCACATATAACTGATAGCTCCATCTAAACATCAAAGCAAACCAAATACTCATTCTACTAACTAAGCATAAAGGGGTAAAATTAGGCAGAAGAATACTTCACTCAAGGACAAGAAACACCTAATGTAACTGACTAACTGCATGAAAAAATATTCAGCAACTGCAAAGTAGATGTCACAAGAAATATATCATATGCATTCCTTGTCAAAGCTCTATTTATGTAATCAACTCTATGCAGCATAATAGTTCTTAGACCCTTATGAATAGAGTTGGCCATTATTCGAATTATCCAAAAGTGCACCCAAAATCCAAATCAAAGTTCGTATTATGGGTAAACCCACTTAGACACTAAGTTATCATTTTGGATATTTTATTACAGTACATCATATTAAAAATATTCAGTTCAAATATGAGCGACAATTTTATACATAAATTTGAAACCCCAGACAATAATAAATTTAAGTGTTACAATTTTTGCATATAATTTCACCCAAAACAAACATAACCCCAAATCAAAAGTTCCACCAGAACAGACACTATACCAACCCCCTACTTGTGAATTTATATTCTAATATACTAAATAATCCATTCAGATTTGTAGAATAAAACATATACTTTAAAAATTTTAAGCATTGACCCCAATGCCACATATTTTCTTTTGTTCAAACTTCAAACCAAGAAAGTATTTCACAATTCCACTTATAAATTTCTATTATATAAGTAATCCATTTGGATTTGTAGAATAAATCATATTTAATTCATATAGACATATACTTTAAAAACTTTAGGCATTGAGCCCCATGCCACATTTTTCTCTTTTGGTTCAAACCAACAAAGTACTTCACAATTTCACTTTTGGAGAATCTACCACATGCTAACCAATCCTAGACATAATCTTCTATTTGTTGCATAACCTTTGAAAATTTCAAAAACAGGGGAAGGGCTACACTTTAAAGGGTTTCAAATGATCATATATTTTAAGTGGGCTTTAGACAAATGCTTGTTGATCTTTCCTTAGCTCATCTTCTTTTCAGAAAGTGTGCAAATATAGAACCTTTCTTCAAGGTGAGGTGATTTAACCTTGAATATGGTAATCTGATTCATACTCAGTATTAGTTAAGGCTTTATGATTTGTGAAGCAGGGAAGTGATAGACCAATTATCTTTAAGGAATTAAAGGCAAGTCTAAAAACCAGTTCTTCACTGTAGTTCCAGACTGGATTAAATGTACTTGCATCAGGAATTAGGCATTTTTTAACTTTTGATTGATAAGAAATCCTTTTTAACTTGTCAACCCCTAATAACATCTAAACTCAATGCAAACTAGCTGCGACAATCAAATCTCTGAATATCAGAGACATCAAAATTGCAAATTGAACAAATCAAACAAGCACTTTAAATGGCACTATATTGGTCATGGAAGAAAGTAGTGAACTACAGATATAGCATTGCATCAAGCAAATGGAATTGAGCTACAGAAAGGAATATAGGTTAAAAAGGCAAATGCAAAAGTACTAGTCCACAAATAACAAACACTTACTCTCCACAGATGAAAATCGGATACAGAAAAGCTCATCCTTGAGTTCACCATCTGCAAAATCTGGTGCATGCCACACACAAGACTTGTCGTTGCCAGCATGTTCCTGAACAGTCATTGATGGTAGTACTGCAAATCACAAACACCGAGACTTCACTCAGATCATCAGGAAAAATACAATTCAACGCATCCACAACTAATAAGTTACTAACAACTAATCGAAAGAAACACGAAAACAGACCAAGATGATTAGCGCAAATCTTAAGTGTCTTCGACTGGCGCATAACAAGGCGGACTTTTCCGGTCTCCTTATGCTTCAAGAGCTTGACTGTGCCGGCGCCTCTCTCTTTCCATTGATTCCCATCCTTATCATACCGATAAAGCTTCGACTTTCTGTAAAGTTTTCAGAAAACCAAAGATTAAGTCCGGAACCGTAGAATTATAACAGATCTGGAGAGAATAGTTAGATCGGAGAATTTATAGAAGGATTAATACAAGTCGAGGATGGCGTCTTCATCTTCCTCGCCGGTAGTAACTGCAACCTCTTCAAGCTTAACGATAGGCGCAACCTGAGCTCCGGTGTCCTCATCATCCGCTCCGACGGCTTCTTCCTCCTCCCTGTGCTGGTTCTCAGGCTCGGTGCTGGCCATTGGTAGTAGATGCGTATCTGAAATGGTGATTAAAAATCGCAGAAGTTTCTAGAGGGAGTAAGTGAAGAGTGAAGGGTTCGATTTTTGAGGAGGTTGATATAATAACGGGGGCGATTTTTGAATAAAGAGAAGTCCGGGACAGCAAACGTGATATCTACGCAGAAGACGCTGGGCACTAGGGCCATTTAGGGCATGTCAACACATTCGACTCCAATTATTTGCCGCACCAAAAAATAATTTCAATACTACTTTGGTATTATTACACTTACGTCAAATTAAGTTGACGGAATATGCCTGAAATGAAATAGCATTTTTGAGGAATAGTTCTATTCTTTTTCTTGATAATGATTTTTATTTTCAAGAACAATGTTCTTAATGATGAGCTATTTCTCCTATAAGGAGAAGAGTGGCTCCCCTTTACGGGTCATTTGGTTCACGAAATGTAAGAAAAGATTGTCAGATTGTTAGGAATGTTAGATTTTTAATAATGTTATATTTATGTGTTTGGTTAAAATTAAACTAGGGTATGTAATATAAGTCAAGCACATTGTGCTCAGATGATACCTGGGTTGGACTCCCATATGGGAGGTTGTGAGATACTGAGATTGAGCCTCAGTTGAGGCGTTATTGGCTCTTTGTACGATAGTTGTTCATGTTAACGATTATTTTACTTTAATACCCTCAGCATATATCATATATAGACTTGTTATTCCCTCAGCATATATCATATATAGACTTGTTATTTTCATGCACTTAGACCCAACAACAGATTAATTACCTATAATAGTAGGTAAATTGTTGATGTGACATTTTTTAGTTAAATAATAATAAATAATTAATATAAAAAAATTTTAAAAAGTAAAAAATAAAAAGATGGCAGCAACGGCCATGGAGCATATTAACTTGGTGGGGTACAATAGGCCACCACAACAATCCTTTCAACCTCAAGGGGCCTATAATCCAAATTCCTCAAGGAGCCACCCAGGTTTTTCATAGAGCAATCTAATGGGGGCTGCAATCCCCAACATTTTAATAATAGATGACCACCAAGTTTCCAAGGGCAACAGTTCCAAGGTATGCAGTCTCAACCTAGACCTCATTTACCCGCTTTGGAAGCTCCACCACAACCAGACTTGAGAGTTATGATGAACATGTTGCTAAAATCTCAATTGCAAAGTGAGGAGAGACTCAAGCAAGTGATTGAGAGGCTGGATCAACTAAGTGCTCGTAATAAGATGCTAGGAAATCAACATGCAAACCAAGCCTCAACCTCTAGAATCAAGGTCACTGGGAAACTGCTAGCTTGCCCCGAGAGTCCAAAGGAACATGCCAATGCCATTGTCACAAAGAGTGGGAAGATACTTGGAGAACCCTCTCTTCAAATCAAAACACCAACTTCAAATAAAATTGTTGATGTGGAGATTGAAGAGACACTTGAGGAAGGAGTTGAACCAGTAGTTTTGAAGCAAAATCCACAAGTCCATGATGAGGTAGAGAAGCCCGTGAGAAGGTATGAATCACCATTGCCTTTCCCTCAAAAATTTCAAAAACAAATAAAGGATAGTAGATGGAAAAAGTTTTTGGATGTGGTAGAAAATTTGAAAGTTTCAATTTCGTTGCTTGATTTGCTTTCTCAAGTCCCTTCTTATGGAAAATTTTTGAGGGATATTCTTGCTAAAAAGAGAAAATTTGGGGATCATGAGATAATTGCTATGGTACAAGAGTATCGGGCCTTGTCACGTAATGAAGGAAGGAGTCTTAGGAAGCATAGAGATCCGGGAAAATTCACAATCCCTTGTGTTATTGGTGGCCGTATGATGAAAAGATCCCTTTGTGATCTATGGGCCAGTGTTAATGTCATGCCATTATCTCTTTGCTAAAAGTTGAATTTGGGAGATCCACAGCCGGTCTAACTTACATTGCAATTTGCGGACCAATCTACTAGGAGCCCCATTGGAATTCTTGAAGATGTCCTAGTCCGTGTGGACAAATACTTTGTGCCTTGTGATTTTATTATGATAGATGCTATAAAGTAAATTCTGATGTTTCAATCATTTTGGGGAGACCTTTCTTGGCAACAACTAGAGCAATAATTAATGCAAAGTGATCAATGATCTTTGACTTTGGGGAGGAAAAAGTTGAATTTAATGTTCTTGACGAGCAAAAATCTATTGGGGATGAAAATTGTTCTATGGTAAATAGCAAGTCCCTTGATACGGATGAACATCTTGATCCCAGTTTTGAGATGACATATGATGAGCATGAAAAATGGAAAAACTTCTTGGGTGGTGAGGTCAACCTCGCGAGTCAATCGGGATGAGCACTCCTAAAGAGGTTACGTCGAGCTAGCGACGTTAAACTTAGTGTTTGATGGGAGGCACTCCATGTTATCTTTCATATTTCATATTTGTTTATTGCTTTCTATTATTTTCATCTAGTTTAGTCTTCTATTTAGCATATTTAGTTCATGTTGTTTTATTGCTTTTTATCTTTCTCTTTTTGCTTGCTCTCTTTTTCTTTGGTTTTACATCAAGGACGATGCAAAATTTTAAGTGTGGGGGAGAGCCAAAATTTGGGATAATTTTCAAAATTTTTGCTTGGATGACTCAGTTTCTTGTTGTTAATAAGTTACCTGTCTTAGCATGTAGGTACAATTGCTCTCTCTTGTTGGTTTGTGGTTTGTTTTAGTGGTATTTGTTGCAATTCAATTTATGATTGATGATTTGAGGTGTAACACATGATTGATCTATTCTGTTGTTAATAGTCTTGTTAACCACTCATTAATTCTTGATCTTGGATGTTATGCATTGCTAGTGAATGCTTATGTGAGATTCCGGTCATGGGTGTTTTGCTAGAACTTTCCGCATTACTCCCTAAGCAAAGTCTAAGTTTTGCATGTTTTGAAGTGATTTAGCCCATTTTTTGTTTAGCACATAGCCTTTAAGCCTACCCTTATATATGTTATTACCATTTGTTCTCCTCTTTGAGCCTTTTGTTTGTTTAATAAGTGCTAAGCACTTAACCCTTTATTGTGATTGTTTTTTTTTTTGTGTTAACCCCATTATGAAACCCTTAGCCTTTAGCAAAAAATGTTTTCCTCCACCCTTGAGAGAATAGAGCATTTGTTCTTTTTCATAGAAGAGACTTTCAGTGGAGTTGTTTTGCTAGCAGTCCTCTAGATAATTTTGCCTTGATGTGGGATCTTGGTTCGTTGAAGACAATGGTTTGTTGCTTGGTTGAAAGAAAAGAAAAAAAATGTATATTAAAAAGTGATGAAAAGGAATTTGAGAAAAGAACACTACAAGAAAAACTGCGAATCGCGACAGAATTTTTTCGTCGCGAATCGTGACGGAATTTATTCTGTCGTCTATCACCTTGTCGTATTTTGATAGACGATGGAATAATTCCGTCGCCCATTTCGCAACGGAATTGTTTCCGTTGCAAATCCGTCATTATTTCTGAACTGAATATTCCGTCGCCATATTATCTTTTCGGTTGCCAATTTTGTCGCATCATTTACAACAAATATTCCGTCGCGTTTTTTAATTATTTTAAAATAAAACTGTGATTTTAAATAGTAATGAATCTTTTTAAAATAAAAGATAACATAATTGTAAATTAAGTTAAAATAATAATACATTACCAATCCACATTTCATACATAATATAATCGTCAATTCAACTCTAAACAACTTAATAATACATTACCAATCCACACTTAATACATAATAATAGTCAACAACATAATAATACAAAATCAATCCACACTTAATACATAATAATAGTCAATTCAAGTCTAAACAACATTAACAAACAACCATTAAAATCAATTGATTTGAGATGGAGGTGATGATGAAGTACCCACTCTCCCGCCATCAATAGCATCAAGTCGTTGTTGCATAAGGAGAATAGTTTCCTTCAAACTCTGAATTTCATGTTGTACATTTGCAGAAGTAGAAGTAGCATTGTCGGGTGGTCGCGATGTTGGTGTCATATTGCCAGAAGTGTTATCATTAGTTTGACCATAAACAGCAGAATAACCATATGAACCAAGTCCATAAACTCTTCTTTTCTTATCGTGTCCACCAACCGCGTCATAGTATAATTGATTGTCATTCACCTGCTCCCCATTTTCTGCCAACATCTCCCGTTGTGATTCAACTTGTTCCTAAAATATGTAAGAGATTTAGTACAAAATATATGTAAAGGCATATATATTTTAAAAACTTAAAACAAATTAAACTTACATGAATTTGTTTGGCTTTTTCAGCTATGAATGCTTGCCCATCGTGTTGTTTGGTATGTGTATGCCTGAACAGTTCATAATACAATGGACAATGACCCAATTGTCCTTCCTACAAATTATATTTAACAAACAAAAGCAATTATTAAAGTAAGAAAAAAATCGGCAGAGTTTCCTTTGTATATAAGACTATCTCCCTGTTCAATATATAATACAATTCAATTATAATCTCCAACATCAATCAATAAACACAATAAAACACAATCACAATCAACAAAAAACATAAAAGTTGGGGTCAAGTAAACTCCAGTTATTCATTCTACCCAGAATTCAGACTAAACTCATGTGACATCCTCTTCGATTGTGGAATCAGTCACAAGGCAGCAACAACCCTTATCTTTAAAAGATTTACGCTACTGCTTCCCAAATTAACTCTGCAGTTTCTACTCCTGAGTTCAATCAATCCTCATTATCAAATCCTTCAAGTTCAAGGTCTCATTTCGAAAGTGGGATCAACCTTGTGGCAACCTTGTGTTCTGTCCATATCTTCTTTCCACATAATACAAAACACATAATACTTATAACTTAAACAATTGAAGTTCGATTCTATGACATTTCTCCATGTCTATTCCACTCGAAGTAATTTGGCACAAAACCAAATTTGCACAAGTGAAATCTCACCATCTCAGCTTCTTCAAATGAGATGTGACGACATCTTTTACATGGACATCGAATTTTAGTTTATCCATAAAATTCGGCATACTACATGCAAACTCAATAAATGTTTCCAATCCTTCAATAAAATCTTGATTAAGATCACCATGTTGAGGTCGTCTTTGATACATCCAACTTCTATCCATATTACTCATTTATGCCTATATA